CACTTGCCCAAAGCATGTCCTAAAATGAGGCTGGAATACTGTTTCGCTTTGGAGCTGCCTGTCTGTCCAGGGCCCTACCTGGAGCCATAAGGAGGAAAAACAAGGAATACAGCTTAGTCAGAGTGCACAGAGAATGAAAAATAAAGGGTAAATGCCAGACTCCAAATGATGTTTGGTTGTAGCTAATTAGGAATGAAAGCCTGCTGGCTTTCAAGTGTACTAAATAGCATGCTGGTCACTTGTTGGGACTACAGAAAGTTACTAAACTGGTTGGTCAAAATTCTGCAGTTAGCCCTGATTTGAGGTGCACGATGTTTTCAGGTGGTGTGAACCTTCTACAGATTAGAAACAAGGTAAAATCAGCATCTTAATTTTATCCCTTAGGGTTTCTTGTGACTTAACATGTATGTCAAGCTGTTTTGCAAACATCTGCTTGGAATATCTTTGCCTCTTAAATCAAGAAAAGCCCTTTGCACTTAGTCAGTGCTGCCTGTCTGCAGTGAAGCTTCAGCCTGTCTCTTCTGTGTTTTGTAAACTTGGTGTGGCGAGGTAGCCAAATACTGGCATCTATATATTTGTGTGTGTGTATAAATGTGCTGGATGTTCTTGACACTTAAAAACTGAACAAATATCTGAAAGACTAAGATACCACCAGCCAATTAGGATAAAAGGGGAATTTAGGGAAAATGTTTAATGCATGTAAACAAAGTAATTGAGGAGGCTTCAGGCAAAGTAGTGGAGAACAAAAAGCACATTTTGGGGAGGAAGTAGCTGGGGGATGCCAGATTTCCAGTGCTTGGTTCCAGTGGGAACTACGTGTCAGTATGGAGCTGATGACTGAAAAACTGGGGGGTAGCTGTGGTCAGAGGTGTGCTTTGGTTTGTGTGCCTTTCACTAAATTAGTTTTGCATTCCTGTTCTCCAAAGCTGCTAAAATGAGAAGTTCTGCATAAGGTGAACTGGTTGTGCACTTATAGGAGCTTTTTCTCCCATCCCTTTCCATTGGCTTCAGAAGGAAATTTGTACAGAATTGGAGATAAGGATTAGTTTCCTTTCTGATGTAAAAGCACAGTGTGAATTCTGGGGACATCCTTCAACTTGAAAAATATATTTGGGGCTGTCAGAGTGGCCCTCAGTGGAAAGGCAAAGAAGCTGTTACTGGTGTGCAAGTTAACTAACAGCAAATAAAGAACTGAATACATACGAAGGAAAACCACATGCTAATAAGAAGGTGTTACAGGGTTATAATTGGGAATCAGAGATAGGCAAGTAGCCAAAAGGGTTTTCTGGTTTTCAGACCTCTCTGTGAACTTTTACTGCACAGCTCTAGAAACCAAACCCATCCTAGTTCTATTTTTCCTTGTTATAGATGAGCTTTGCTTAGAAGCTATTATGAGACATGATGATTTCAGCACATAGATCTTGCATTTCTGATGTGCCTGGTTTTGTTTTAGTGACAGGTCCCCAAAAGAGTCCCATGAGCGCTTCTGGGGCATGGCATCATAGAATGTTAAGGGGTTGGAATGGACCTTGGAGATCATCTAACCCCAACCCCCCGCCCTGGGCAGGGACACCTCCCACCAGACCAGGTTGCTTAGAGCTCCATCCAACCTGTCAGGGTTGGGGCATCCACAACCTCCCTGGGCAATTTGTGCCAGTGCCTCACCATCCTCACAGTACAAAACCTTTTCCTGATATCTAATATAAATTGCAATTTCTACCCATTACCCCTTGTCATCAAGTTTGGAAAAGACCTCCAAGATCAAGTCCAACCTTTGACCAAACACCACCTTGTCAACTAGACCAGAGCACTAGGTGCCATGCCCAGTTGTTTTGAGCACCTCCAGGGATGGTGACTCCACCACCTCCCTGTGTAGTCCTTTTAATCACATGCTACTTCAATTCAGCCCTGTGTGTTGGTCTGACAGACACCCGTACCACAGCTTTTATTGGATCTTTGTCACTACATAAGTCTATTAAAACTATTTGTCCTGTAAGAAATGAATGGGAATATTTCCCCTGAGTGTTTCAAAGACACTTTGTTTGGCTCATATGCCACTTTGGTGAATGTTGGTCTCAAAATTGGAAGCGTCAGCAAATATTTCATAATTACATGATGCCTCTCTTTAGTCTTTTCTTTTTTAAAGTAGGAGCTAGAGTGGCTCAGGTTTGGGAAAAGAGGTCAAATCCCACCTGGCTACAGCCTCCTTTCAGGTAGTTGTAGAGAGTGACAAGGTCTCCCCAAGACTCATTTTCTCACCTCCAGTTCCTTCAGATGCTTCTCATCAGAACTGTGCTCCAGACCCTTCCCCAGCTCCATTGCCCTTCTCTGGACACACTCCAGCCTCTCAATGTCCTTCTTGCAGTGAGGGGCCCAGAACTGGGCACAGCACTTGAGGTGTGGCCTCACCAGTGCCTAGTACAGAGGGAGAATTGCTGCCCTGCTGCTGCTGGCCACACTATTCCTGATCCAGGCCAGGATACCATTGGCCTTCTTGGCCACTTGGGCACACACTGGCTCATGTCCTGCTGCTGTGAACCAGCACGTCCAGGTCCTTTTCTACTGGGCTGCTATTCAGCCACTCTTCCCTCAAGATGTGTGAATATGTGGTTCCTATTGGTTTTAAAGAAAGGAGGCTGTGTTGCCTCTGCTACCCAACTGGTGTCAAGGTGAAATTGTTAAGTTTTAAAATCAGTAATGCCTTGCCATAAACACCAGGATTTTCTGTCTTCTAGCTGCTGCAAGAAGTCTGCGATGTTACCTCTGGCGTAGCTGCAAGGATGACTTGACTGATTTGCATTCATGGCTCTTGGCTGATCTGGTGAACCATGGAGCTCAAAGTATGGGTGGATGGAGTCCAGAGAATCGTGTGTGGGGTCACCGAAGTAACAACATGTCAGGAAGTTGTTGTAGCCCTTGCTCAGGCTATTGGTAAGTAGCTCTGTCACTGGGAAATGGGGTGAAGCTTTTTTTGTGAAGCTGAACTGAGGGGAGGTGTGAGGCTGCACTGAGTGTCAGTAAAGCAGAAATATGCTCAGTGGGATAACCTTGCAGTGTAAACTTGCAGCCTTGAATTTTTCATCTGCCAGAGAGAGATTAAAAGAAAGAAAGATTAAAAAGAAGAAAAGAAACACTATAAAATCTATAAACTTTCATTTGGGACATGTTTATTCTCTGAATAATCTAATAACATGCTGCTGTTTGTCATTGTAAAGAAGGTGCTAAGCTGTCAATGTTTTGAGTACCGAAGAGTATAAAAGCAGTGTAGTGTAATTGGTTGACTTTCACATCCTAATGATGTTCAGTGAAATTATAGACATTGTATCTTTAGCTATATTGGGAATAGTGAGGATCAATGAAATAGATCCTTCAGGTTCTTCTCTTACTCCTGTACACAACATAACTCAGGACTAATGAAAGGGTAACCTGGAAGTCTGTACAGTGTTAGTGATTTGATGAACAGTTTAGAAGAAAAAAATAAAATCTTTCAAGCTCCACGACAAGAAAGAACTTTCCTTCAGTCTTGTTGGATCTTTCTCAGTGATTAAGGGCCTCCTGAGTAAGTCTCAGCTTCATCCCTTCAGTGTTTCCTATGCTGATTCTTATTCTTTGCTAAAATGCTATAATTGGCTTTATATACTATTTAAATTTAGGCATCAAAATGTATGTTTTACCTAAAATTAAAATAATATTTTAAAGACTAGCTTTTGCCTTTTTCAGCATGCCAACAATTTTACAAGGCTGTGTTAGCAGTCTGACTTGTTTGTAAAATAGCAATCTTCTAATAAAAACCAATTTAGGCCCATGAATGTCAGTGAGGTATTCTACCTGTAGGGATAAAGTCAGTGTATCTGAAATTGTGATGATGTTTGTTTATTTAAATGTGTACTCTGAACATCATTGCCATCTACTTTCATCTGATGGAGTAGAAGACTGACATCTTGTTTTATAGTTTAAGGGGATTGAACACAATGCTAGCAAATGTATATCTATAAAAATCAAGGGCCTTTTAAAGCTTCATTTAAAAACTGTGGGAAGTTAGTAAGTCTCTCAAATCTTGTATTTGATGGGTAACTGTTTCATGTGCTTTTGCTGGTTGTGCTAGTTGCAGCATTTTGTTTAATGCTAATTGGTTTATGAATTGCTTCCATATCTCATTTTCTGTCTGTAGGTTTTTGAGACACAATTATGCTAGCATGATCATTTCCTAGTAATGATTAAGTGATACATATTTAGAAATAATAAATAAAGTGGTTGTGATACTTTTGTTCTTTATTTTGCTTTCAATAACTCTTTCATCCTGTTTCCTTTGCCTCCTCCCCCGAAGCAAAAAATGTCAGGCTGTTCTAGGCAGTAATTTAATGTTCTTCTGTGTAATTTCTCTTTGTTTTTTTTTCTCTGTATCCTCAGTTATTAGCCTGAACTCTGAAAAGACTCCATCAGCCTTGGAAACACACACAGGTTTTGCCAGCTCTGCAGACTTCCTTTTCTGTAACACGTCACCAGTTCATCTGGGGCATGTGACTGGTTCCATGCAGAGAGAAATTTCAGTTGCAACCAGAGCCAAATTAAGATAATCCCGTGGAAATTCCTTCTTGCGGCAAATATCCTCTGTAGAAAACACAAGGAATAATTTCACTGGGGGCAGCTAGGACAGTGTGAAACACCATATAAATTACACTTGTGTGTCTTTGGCAGATAGGGCTTTCCCAACCCTCCTGTCAGGCCATTCATTAGGAGAGCAACCATATGTCTGCTCCTTTGATTTGGCTGTAGGTACCAGCTTACCAGGAATAATTGTCACTCGAATTTGAATGGGAATCTATAAAATGTATCCCTCTAGCTCTCACCTGACATTTGGTGGTGGAAAGTAGCCAGTCTGAGTTGGCTTCCTCCTCTGTTGGCTCTGACTGTATTTTCCACTTTGCAGTCTGGCTCCTTCAGCAGTCACATAGCTTGGCTGGACTCAGGGTTATTTTGTCTGTCTGTTGGTCTGTCTGCAGAGTTTTTGAGATGCTCCTTTTCTTTTGTTGTATCTTACAGTTTATTACTAGGTACTGGACTTTAAAAATTCTACCACACACAACACAGTCCTCTTCACTGAGCCTGAAACATGAACTGCAATAAGGATATTTTCTTGAAGTGCAGTGTCTGGAATATCTGTAAATTAACTTATTTTGTAACCATATCCACTGAAGAAAGCACAAGCCAAAAATACCTGGATTAAGACAACCATAGTTAAGCTTCTCACAGACAAAAGAAACTGCCTCTAGGAGATATGAAAATAAAAGATTTAGCACATGCTTCAAAAATAAGAAAACCAAATTTATTGTAGAATGGAGTGTGGTTAGAAGGCCCCTTTGAGCATCATCCATTCCAACTCTGCTGCTCAAAGCAGGGTCAGCAGGTTACTTAGGACCATGGGCAGTTGGGTTTTGAATGTGGCCAAGTGTGGAGACTCCCCCATCTCTCTGGACCACCTGTTCCAATGAGAGTGTGTTCCTTAAATGGAATTTCTTTAGTTTCAAGAAATGCCTTTTGCTGCCACTTGATCAAATACTGGGCTGTGTCTCCTGATCTCTTGCTGCGATAAGAGCAACAAAAAGGTTTCCATCTATGCACTTTGCAACTTTCCCTTGTGTCATGGAAATTCAGTCATAACTTCAGGAAAAGTATTCTCTTTTTTTTAATGTTCTAGGGCTATTTTAGCTTTAAAAGAAAAAGGTAAGCCATGCTGGGTTATGCCCCTTTGTAGGAGGTTCTGTCCCATAACCCAAAGTCTCTAATCCTTTCGCCATGGCATTCTGTCACTTAGCTTGCCTGGTAATGCGCCTTGATGTATTCCTTACAAATTGGTGCTCTTTCAGTGAAAGTCTCTCTCTCTTCAGGGCTCTACTCCTGATGGATAACATCTGTGTTACCTCTTCTTGCATTATGATCTCCTTCCCCTGCTGCTTGTCTCTTGATCATTGCAGAATAGGAAATGATTCTACCCCAAGTTAGAGGTTTTAGGGGTTTTTGGTTTGTTGTTTTTTTTTTTAAATTTCCATTTGAGTTGAAATTTAAAGGGTCTGAATTAAATTTCAAAAAACCCTTATTCTTTAAAACAAAAGAGAAGGAAGAATTGCCTCCTTTGCTGATCTCTGCAAAGCTTATTTAAAAAAATAGATGTGTATCATTTAATCAATGCAAAAGAGAATATCAATTGGATCTAATTTGGGATACTGAAATTGATTGTGTCTCTAACTTGGAGTGAGTTAGAAATGCCTTAGCTGGAGGGTGGGTCCCTGGAATTCTGTCCAACACAGACATAAAACTGTTCAGTTACAAGTTTCCAGAGAGTGAAATCACTTCCCAGTGGGATCTTGAAGAACACTTGATCCTACCTTTTATGAGTTTTATCCAGGGCTGCTTTATTTCTTTTCAACTCAAGCTGCTTGCAATTTACAAAGATTTGAATTTTTAATACAAATGAGAGAAATGATTGTTTTGTCATGAGCAAATAAACCATCACCAAAACAGAAATGTACCTCAGCACACAGTTTAAATGGAAAACAATGAGTCTTGTTTTTAAAATATTTTTGCCAGGAGAGATGAGATTTTCCAAGATTCATCACTGTCTATTTTAAAATGTACAGTTAACAACAAATGCTCTTGTGGGGTTTTTTTTGCTTCCATTAGCCATGCTGTGAAAATCATGCCAAAATGGCTATATGTATACACTGCTTGGTCATTTTGATTCGTCTGCTTAATTCAGTGACTGGAAAAAATGTGAAGTTATTGATACTTTTCGACTGCGTGTGATGAGATTGTTGGTGAGTCCAGCCCAGGGATCTGTTTTGCAAAACAGGATTATGAACTTAGTCGAGTGTGTGACTCCTCTCAAAAGATCATTGTAATACTGAGGGGAAAAGCAGTTGGAATCTTAAAAAAAGGTGAGCTAATCATGTTAGCTGATGGATTAGGCAAATATGGTTTAATTATAGATTTTTTTAATTGGCTTTTACTGGTTGTTTTCCATTTAAATATGAAAAATAAATATTCCAAGGGAATGTGGCAATGAATAGTGCGGTCATGAACAGACTCATCCTGCTCCTTCTGAAGAGTTCTTATCTCAGTTCCAGCCCCCGTGAGGATTTTTACTGCATTTGTTGCGATTTCTTTACCCCTGGAGACTAGAACTTATCTTCTGTACTCAGAATCACGGGTTTGTTTGCTAGAAAGAGAATACTTCAGTCTAGAGATGTGAAGCTTGAATTTCTTACCAAAGTGCCGTTTTGTTTTCTGCCCTCTCCATAATTTTCTGTGGCAAAGAATTAAAATGGCAGATTTGCTTTAAATAGTGCTGTGGATTTTGCGTTTTGTAGATGGAGAATATGAGCCACACTTCACTGAACAAGAAGTACAGCTGTCTCTTTTTAAAATTAAACAAATGCAGCTGTCGGGGTGGGATTTTTTTAGTTGCAATTATTTTTCCTCAAAGATAAATGGGGTGTATTATGAAAATAAAGCACAGGTTTGTCCATGCTGTCTCAAACATGAGTTACAGTGTTGTAAGGCTCAGCCAGAGTTGTATCTGGAAGGATCACTCCAATTCTTTTTCAAGGCCGTGTAGTGACAGAACAAGGAGAATGGCTTCAAGTTGACAGAGTAGGTTTGTATTGGATATTTGGAAGAAATTCTTCCCTGTGAGGGTGGTGAGGCACTGGCACAGGTTGCCCAGAGAAGCTGTGGCTGCTCCATCCCTGGCAGTGTTCAAGGCCAGGCTGGATGGAGCCCTGAGGAGCCTGGTCTGGTGGAAGATGTCCCTGCCCATGGCAGAGGGGCTGGAACGAGATGGTCTTTGAGGTCCCTTCCAACCCAAACCATTCTGTGATTCTGTGATTTATTGGTGTCTCTTCTTATGTTCATCTCTTCCTCCCAATGACTTC